CAAGGTCAAGTTAAACAACACTTTCCAAAGCAAAACTTGAAAAAAACATTATTTAACAAAAATTAGGGAGTTTCCAACGTTTTAGAGCCGCTCACTTCACTTCGGTTGTCACCCAACGTGCCTTTACACACTGGGCTTGTCCACTTCTTTTTCCTGGTGGGTGGGGATGGGGATTCAGAGCGTCTGTCCAGTTCCCAACCCTGTACGTGTTCCCTCGATCACATGTGACAGTCGTCCTGACTGCGACAGTGCTGGTAAGGAAAGTTATTTAAAATGCTCACCGACCGCGGGCAGCTGCGCGGTTTTATGAGTTACTAAGGAAGAGATTTAATATATAAACATGAAGATTAGGCCCTTTCCCTGGATTGGGAATGTAAACAGAAGTTCACCACGGCTGTTTGTGCAGTTATTTATTAATTGGTCCACAATGGTACTGAGGCTCATACCAAACCAAAGTCCCCGACAAGGCGGACCGGAGGAAGGCTACCAGAGGAGCCCTGGGCGGGTCTCCCCGCCCTCCCAGCGCCAGGAATTCTCAGGAACCCCATGGCTACTGCAGTGGATTTATGGGCCCCGTTTTCCCTCAAAACCTCTTCTCTTCTACTCCACTTTTTGTCCTCACCCCACTGGACACGCAGGTTCTGCCCGCTGCCCCTCCACTCCCTGCACAATGGGGAACACATTCCCCTTTGGAGGACAAGGTCCAAATCGTCTGCTTTTCTCCAGCTTTTTATCTGCATTTCCCAAGAGACCCCAGCCCAAGCCCCACGGGGGCTGCGCACCAGGCTGGCCCGCAGGGACTCGGCCTCGCTGGCCGCGCCAGGCTCCACGGACAGTCTGCACGAGCAGCGGCGCTGGGGCTCCGCGGGCTCCTTCCAGGTGAGCTGGGGCTGCCCGCTGCCAGTGCCACACGGGAAGCCACCTCTGCACAGTGGAGGAACCACACGGGGTGAACACACTTCTGGGGGGGCACAGAGCTCCTGTCAGGTCACCCCGTGGTTCCGACTGTAGAAACCGGGAAGAATCATGGATTCTCTCCCCCTCGTGATCTGACGGCTGGTGAAGAAGCTCTCTGTAGCCTGATGTATTCCCTAGGGGCTGGGGACCCTTCATATTTGATGCTATTTTAGTTTGGGGAGTGACTCCCTAACTTATTTGTACAACACAATCTCAGTATTTAGACAGCTTTCTAAGGCAAGGTCCCTTAACCGGGGGCATCGGTTCAGAAGTTTTTAGGGGGAGGGGTCGTGTGCATCCAGTTTGACTTGTAAATTCTCAAGTGCAAACGTACTTCCCCTCATGTGAGGGTCTGGTCAAGGACCGAGTCCTGCAGCTCTTCCCCAGAGGGAGCCCAGTGTCACCAAGAACTTAACAGCATCTGCTCAAGGTGGTCACATCAGGCCTGCTCACACGCACGTGTAGCACATACGTTTTTAAAGAGCAAGGGGGCAGAGACGGCAGACATGACTTTGCAGGTGTACGCCCTCTTCATGGTGACGGTCTCCTCTGAAACCATCATCATGCAGGGGATGTCTTCTTAGATTTTTGATCAAGGACGGGACACAGCATTCCCAGATGCCGTCTTCACGCCATTGTTCATTTTAACAAATCCATTAAGGACAATGAGAAATACAGTAAGTGGAACCCATATTTTTCTCTCAAAATCAGGAACCCTCTCTCCTCCCAGAGGGAAGAAGCAGGTTGGCAAACACAGGAGGCCCCGAAACACGCATCTGCGGGCGCTGACCGACAGCCTCGCACGCCGTGCTGTGTGCACACGTCACAGCACCCAAAAGGATCTTCGACACAAAACCTGCCCTTACGTGTCACAGGACCGCAAGGCCAGGAAAATGAGTCTCAGGTGCAGCGCCCTCTGAAAGGGTCACTTTGCAGCGCAGAAGGAATTGTTTGAGGGCAGTTCCTCCGTCTAACAAGAACCTATGAACTCAGGAGCTAAGGACCGTGTCCCGTCCGCAAGCGGCCGTCACTCAGACTTCCCCAGTTCAGGTGTCAAGGCGACAAGCGGCAAGTAACCACCAAGCGCCAGACCCAGGACCAAGAAGAGTCCAGGCCCTCTCCTCTGATCAGTGTGATGCAGAAACTAAATCAGGAACATGGGATCACTGTTTGCAGGTTCTTTAGATTTTTAAGTGAAGATTTTTTGTCACCTTCTCCTGTCTGGTTACGGAATTCCTTCACCAATTACTGACCGGGCACCGTGAGATTATGGCTGTCCTCGCCCCGAATTCACTGCCCAACAGATGCACACACACAGAGGTTCCCACCCCACACCCGAATGTTTACCCGAAAAGTAAAAACCCTGGCGTTCACATGATCATACCCAGACACAGACAGCGCACACAAGGAAGGGGTGTGGGTGAAAGTGACCGACGTGAGGGCAGTCTACAACAGAGGCCTTTGCGGGGAACGAGAACAGGGCTCAGCGCAGAACTGGGGTGCTGTGCTGAGCACCCTCAGTCAACAAAATGACGACATGTAGTGAATAACCTCAGTAGAGGAAAAAACGGATTCACTTTTCCTAATCACATGGGCCCCTGAGCAGATACATACTCTACAGAGAAATCCGCATTTCTGCTCAATATAACTGATCATTCCCCCAGAACAGTATCATCTAGTTTTACTCCTAATTCAACACTAAATTTCAAAGCACGATTTTATCATGATTTTATATAGCCATCTGCAATTTTTCTCCCTCGTCTTTAAATGTTAAGGTGTTTCCTGCGTTGTAAATTCCCCTCCCGCACCTTCAGTATGTGAATGTCTCAGCTCTTCCCTTCTCCTACCTGTACCTTCAACCTTTTTAAACATTGTTAAATTATGACTTAACAATACTGTTTTTCCTAATAAAAATGCTCAAGACCATTTTATCACAACCTTTTTGAGGCAAAAGGATGTACCTGGAACCAAGAGACTGGGATCCGATTTAAAACACAGCCTCCATACAGTCCCACGAAAATGATGCGCAGGACAGCCAACCCCTTTCAGTAAGACGTGTCCCAACTCACAGGTTGCACTTCTATCGTGCGCCTCCAACACAAAAGAACATAGTCAACCAATTTTCACACACACCTAGAAACATGAAATACTTAAGTTTAAAGAAAAACACAACACAAACACAGTCCCTAAGCCGCAGGCTACACCACGGATAGGAATGTTTTATCAAATGTTACTTAATAGGAAAACCTGAAAGATGTGACTGGGTATGAAGTGACGCCCCTTGCTCGACTTTGTGATTAACAGGTCTTTTATTGGTAGTAAACTAGAGCAAACAATCAGAATAATACATATGCAGTTTTCAGTACACACAATAAAAGTTAAAGAAATTCAAAACCTGTATAAAATAAAACACTGGAGAAAAATCATACATCTTAAGATACAGTGGTAAAGGTCCTCTCCATCCTTTGATTACAGCTTGTACTCTGTACCCAACAGAACTTAACCGCACTTAACCAAATCAGAAATACAGACTTTAGAATCAAGTGTATTTAAGAGGATTAAACACGTTTTCTAAGAATCCTGCAGTGACGAGTAGGTGACCCTCGGCTGGTAAAGCACACTTCAGGGAGGGAAGTGGGGGAAGGACATTAACTAGCATTTGTAACCATTTTAATAATTTCTTATCTCCAAACACTGCTTTCATGACAGAAGCGTTTCACACTCGCACAATATTAATTATTATACACGGAAGCCTGCGGCAGGCGGGTTACACAATAAGACTGCAAACAAACAGTGGTACTTTCCTGACGTCAGAAGAGTACGTGAGACTGAAGCATCACCAAAAGTACATAAAACTCATCAGCATAAACACCAAAGTACATTAAAAAATATAATCAGGAAAAAAATACAATTGCTAAAAAGTGGTTTAGAGCGGAGCACTGTCACCAGCAGCTTCAAAGGGCAACCAGGGTTGACAGCAAGTTTTGATGACTTCACGAGACCCCTGTACAATACTGACGAATGCGCCCTTTCAAATGTCCAAGAAAGGCTGCGATTTCACCAAGAGGCGCTGATGTCATGACTCAAGGCAGGCACACTCTTGCCCTCACGTTGGCTATGTCACCAGTTGGAATTACAACCTTGTTAATATCTACAGCTGAGAACGTGGGACTTTATTATACATGAAAATCTATATAGCTTTGTTTTATACTTTAAAGGTGGGGGGTGGCATGTTTATCTTACTGTTCAGTATTTGGATGCCATAGGCATATAAAATGCATTATGAATTACCTACTGAAATGTAACTCATTTTAAAAGTGAAACTGTCAAGACAAGGCAGGCCCAGAAGTCTTAGAAAGAGGGTAGATTAAGAACCAAAAAAAAAAAGAAAAAAAGAAAGAAAACACCCAGAACTGTGGGTGACATAATAACTTGAACAAGAGGACAGTGTCTCTAGGCTGTGTATAACAACACACCCTCCAAATGTCAAAGAACTATGTGATTCCAACTTGGGCTCTAACACTGGAACCCTCCTCACTGGGGCTTCAACACTGTGCCAGACGTCAGCTGACTCTTAATGGAATAACAGCCTTGTTACAGTCGGGCAAGGAGAGGGTGCTTTTTTCTTCTTATATTAAAGCTATCATTCCAGGCTTTGATCAAAGATCCAAGAACATCTGTTCTAGCAGGCTGGAATGAATGTGGTCTGGAAATTCAGAGTACATTTAGAAGCTGCAACAGAATACAGGTAGCCAACATCTCAGAATTCTGGATCAGTCCAGATGGAGACAGCAATTTGAAATGTTTTCGATCCCTTACTCAAATGATGAAACGTAAATCGTTCTTATCAGCCCAGACAGAGCAATTTGAAATGTTTTCGATCCCTTACTTAAATGATGAAACTTATACCATACTATCTGTAAGTTGGATAGTCCATTACAGTGATAACGTACAGAATTCCCATGCGTTATTACACTTTCCTGAGAGTAAAGCAATTAGAATAACCTTAATCCTAGCAACAAAGTTTTTCTATGTTTTTGTGGGTTTTTTTTTTTTTTGTAGGATTTTTTGTGAGTTTTTGTGGGTTTTTTTTTTGCATTTAAAACGTATGGGCTATTCCCTGACAATCTATACATGTAAATTTGATTGCTAAACATTGTCACTTTGAATGTCAAACTATTTTTAATCTATTGATTTTGATTAAAAATCATAATAGAAACAGAGCTAAAATCACGCTAACAAAATAAACTAAATATGAAAGTTGCATTGAAAGGGCATTACATTATTCTCAATAGGATCGTGTACAAACATTCCAATGGCAGTGTTCTCAAAACAACACAAAGTTACACTAGAAGACCTCCAGCCTGGTCACCTGTGGGACCTTACCTGTAACTCTGGCTGGTGGGTGTCTTAACTCTCGTACTACATGGCTCACTCACATCAGACATCATATCTGTGTACCCTGAGAAATCTGACACGGAAGTCCTGACTCTATGGTCCACTTCCCCATTAGAGTTACTGACAAAGGTCATCGGCACCCTGCTGCCCGACTTAAACTGAGAACCAAAGGCTTGTGCAAAGTTCTCAATCTGGTACGTTGTTCTCGGCTCTATGTCCTTCTGAGGATCTATCTGGCTGGCTAACTCCTGAGATGGAATCTGAAAGCTGGCTGAGGACTCTAGGTTTTTCTGTTGTTCTTTCTGGCTAGTCAGTTTCTGAGATGAGGACTGGAAGGCCGATGAAGTCTCTAAACTCTTCTGAGAATCTATCAGATCATCCAGCTCCTGGGAAGGTGTCAACTGCTGATGGGTGGCATCCAAAGCAGACAGATACAGACCTGGCTGAGATCCGAACAACATCCCAAAAGGAGGCTTTGGCAATGAAGATGGCAACACTGAGGTAACAGATTGGCCGAAACCACACTCCAAAGGAGACGTAGTGTAAATCTGTTTTTCTGGGAATAAAGTGTGGTTGTGGAGAGGTGAAGACAAACTGACAAACTGGAAACCGTGTCCAAGAGTAAAACCTGCATTAGTGGATTTTTCAAAAGCCTGCTGGAGGTATTTGGAGTATTCCTGCAACATGCTCGCCTTGTCGCTGGAAGGGGTCTGGGTGCCTGGGCTCAAGTTCTCCTCTGGAACCAACTCTGAGTGCTCTCCTGAGGTGTGTAAATCCACTCGTGGCTCGGTGATGTTGAAAGGATCCTCTTTCTGGCTTTCCGACTTGTTGGAGTACTGATCCAAAATACTCTGCAAGACCTCGTCGGGAATGCCGGACTTGTCGTGACAAGACTTAATTTCCGTGTTCAGCGCTGAGGAGTCGATCAGCGACAGTGGGGCCTCGCTGTCCAGCACACTGACCCCTGCAGCCTGGATGACCGACGGCTGGGAGACCATGTGTCCCACGTTGATGGAGAAGGCACTGTTGCTGGTGGCGGTAGGTAAGTATCTTCTTTTCTTTGAAAACTGCATGGCATCATCGTAATTGCTGTTCATCTGGCCCTGTTTGCCACCGGCGCTCTGGAGAAGACCAATGGCCTCCGCACTGGCATTCGATGCTATGCCGAGGGAGCTGCTTGGCTTCCCAGACAAAGACTTCTGTCCAACTATGTCTGGTAACGGCGACACAAAGTTAAGGTAGCTTTTGTCTGTGTTCTTCCTGCTTCCCTTCTTGAAGATCAGTTTTGGCACCCTTTTCTGAAGTTCATCGATACCGCTGCCAATTATGCCTCCGCTGGAAGACATCGCGGGCATCTCCACGGAGTACGTCTGCATGCTTATACTGTTTGCAAGAGGCGACTCGTGGGCTTTGCCGGCCTTGTGTTCCTTATTTTCAACGGCTACGCTTTTCGACTTGGATTTTCTCCGCGAAGAACTGCTGTTTCCCTGAGACAGCACGGCCAGGTTCCCCATGTTGCTGTGGCTGGCTGAGCCCGGTTCTGCACTCGGGGCTCCCTTAGCCATGGCTTCACCACAGGTGCGCCTGTGTTTCAGCAGTCTATCGGTCCTGGAAAAATACTGCTGGCAAGTGTCACACTTGTATGGCTTTTCTCCACTGTGCGTCCTCTTGTGTCTCTCCATGTGGTACTTCTGGATGAACTTCATGCTGCACTGGTCGCAGCCGAAGGGCTTCTCTCGGCTGTGGATCTTCTCGTGCCGCTGCAGGAGGTACTTCTGGATGAAACCCATGCTGCACTGGCTGCACTGGAAGGGCCTCTCCCCGGTGTGGATGAGGACGTGTCTGCGCAGGTGGTAGGAGCTCCGGAAGGCCGCGCTGCAGTGGTCGCAGATGTGAGGTTTCTGGCTGGGGGAGAGGACGGCGCCCTCGGCGTCCCCCACCAAAGGCGGTTTGGAGGATGCGCCGGGCTTCCTCTTGGCTTTGATTCCCTGAGATTCTGGCTTTGGCCTCTTGGCCTTCTTGACGGCCGGGTCCTGCTTTGGCTCCTCGCCGCCGAGCAGGCCGTCGCGCGGGTGCGCGGCCGGCGGCGGCGGGTGCAGGACGCTGAGGTCCTGGATGACGCCGTGGCCGCCCCCCTCGCCGCCCAGGCCGGCCGCGCGGTCCTCGGCGCCCGCGAACAGCCCGCCGTAGTGGTGGTGCTGCGGCGGCTCGTCGGGCTCGGCCGGCTTCTCCTGCTTGATGCTCACCAGCGGCTGCAGGAAGCCCCAGGAGGCGCGCGGCGCCGGGAAGGCCGCGCCCGAGGCCGCCGGCTCCTTCTTGAAAGTCATGTCCGGGGCCGGCGGCGGGGGCGGCTCGGCCGGGGCCGCGGGGGGGGCGAGCACGCACTGCGGGGGAGGGGCGGCCGGGCCGGCCGGCCGGGCGAAGCTGGCGACCGGGGGCAGCCGGTGGTTGAACATGACCAGGCCCTGCGGGAAGCTGGGCTCCATCTCCGCCCGCCTGCCGGAGCCGCCGCCGCCGCCGCTCAGGAACCCGCCGCCGACTCTCATGCCCCGGGGGAGGCCTGGCTGCGGAGGGAGGAGGACGGAGAGGCGGTGGGGCCGGGCCGCGCACCCCGAGCCCCGCCGCCCGCCCGCCCGCGGCCCCGCGGCGCCGCGCGCCCCGCCCGCGCCCTCCCGGCCCGCCCGCCCGCGCCGCCCCCGCCCGCACTTACGGTCCCGCCGCCGCCGCCGCCGCGCCGCCGCCGCCGCCGCCGCCGCCTCCGGTTAATAAAAATAACGCCGTCCTCTCCACAATGGAATTAAAAGCCTCCCCCGCACTGCGCAGGCGCGGCGCGGGGTCTGCTGGGAGCGGCCGGCCCGGCCCGAGGGGAGCGCTGCGCGGGCCGTGCGCAGGCGCCGCAGCTTCCGCCCGACCCACCTGTCAATCACCGGGGCGGTTGGGCGCAGGGACGGCCCGGGGCGGGGGGCGGGGCCTACGGGACCCTCCAAAGAGAGGCCTCCGCGGCGCAGCGGCCTGATTGGTGGGCGGCGGTGACGGACAGGACGTGGTGCGGGCGCGTGCGGAAAGGCGCTCAGAAGGGGGACCCCCGGGGGCGGGATGTCCGGCGGGCGGAGCCGCGGGAGCGCGCTGCGGCCGGGGGGAAACTGAGGCCTGCGCGCGCGGGCGCGTCCGCGGTGCGGCCTGCGGTCCAGGCTCCAGCCCACGCCCGACGCGCAGGGCGCCCTCCGCCGCGTGGGCCCCTGCGGGACGCGCTCAGCGCCCGAGGCTCGGCCTGCAGAGTCACATGCGCGGCGTCCCGCGTGGGGACCTTCCCGTGGGCGCGCGAGCTCTGCCTCCGCGGGAGGAGCGTGCCTGGAAACCGCAACAGAGGTGCCGCTGCAAAAAAAAAAAAAAAAGCTGTCTGGCTGCCAACCTGCCCGAAGGCGACGGGGAAAGGAGCCGGCGTGACCCGGGCGCAGCAGCCCCGGGAACACGCCCACGTGCGGACCAGCGCGGAGCTTGAAGCCCCGGCCTCCCAGGCCGCCGGAGGGGTCGGCGGGTCCCGGCCGCCGGCCAGGGGGGCCCGCTGAGGTCTCCGCGGGACCGCCCTGCCCCCCACAGCAGAATGCCGAGAAATGCAAGCAAAACATTTGAGAAATGCAAGCAAAACAGGGCTGCTGACCAAGGGGCCTCGGGAAGCCCAAGCTCACAAAAGGAGCACATCCGTGTCTGAAAATCAGTATTTGCAGAGAGTCCCGGAGATGTTTTTCAGGAAAGCTGGACCGGGGACAGTGATCCATCTGCCTCGCACATTTTCTTAATGAGATCACAAGCCCTTTCTTTCGCAACAGCTCCAGCGATGCAATCCTAGCCTTCCCTGAGCTGTCTCCCCACTGCCACCGAAGGTGGTGGACGAGCTCCTGTGGGCCCTTCTCTGAATCTGCCCAAAAACTCAAAAGGCAGTATGGAATGGGCCTGGAGAGACAAGAAATGTCACAATTTTCCTAACTCCATGCACAGCCCATAAGCCTTCTGCCACTGATCCAGGGAACTTGAATGCTGTCAAGTATGTAAGTGTTCAAAGAAAGGCTGGAAATTCGAAAACTTGGGGCAGGAGTAACATATTAGGCCATGCCCATGAGAAATGAGGCTGTGCCTTTATTCAGGGTGTCAGTGTTTAATGGTAAGCCGGGGTGCATATAAACCAGCCCAACCATGAAGGGCAGTTCGACACGCATATATGAAAAGCCAACTTTGTTCCTCAGTTATCAAGATAAGAAACCTGTCATTTCTCTCATTCACTCTGTCAGCCTTGAGATACTGGGAGCAGACTTGCCTCCGGGTTGTACGCCCATATATCAGGAAGATGAAGAGACCCCGTGAAATAAAGTGTGGTGGGGGGAGCTGTTAGCGCTAATCATTTCCGCGGTAGAAACACCTGAAATAAACTTTCGTAGGAAAGACAAAAGGAGACACACTTCATCAAGGTCAATTTATTTTTCTATTTTTCAACATTAGCGGCTACACCTTGAGCATTTGTAAGATAGCAGGTCAGCACATCACTCAGGGGTGGGGGTGCCGTTCAGTTACTTAGAAATAGAAAATAAAATACCACCCTGGGCACCCAGAATGTTAATTAGGAAAATCAGTATGCTGGTCTTTGGAAGACAGCTGGGTAATGAAAAATGAAACTCAGAAGATGTCATCAAAGTAACCCCAGAAATAGCTGTAAGCATCGGTGTTTCCAACCACTGTTTTAGACTACAGCAATTAAAATATATTTGTAACTGTCTTCAATGGGCTAACTTTTTTTAATGTTAAAGTATAAAATAGCTAAAGGAATCAACCTAAGGTAATAAGTATGAATACTTTTAAAACAATACTTAAAATACCAGTTCAAGTAGAGATAAAATATCAGCTGTCGTAAAACCGCCTATATTTTTACTGTCTCCTAACCTATAGAGTAAAAAGTTCCCTGAATGTGCTGTTTACTGGCTCTTAGCTTCAGAATGTAATTGTAAAATGTAAATTAAATCTCACTCTTAACTCTAAAAAATCTTACCTTTTTAAAGGAAATAAAACTGAATGTGGTTTAAACTTATCACAGATAATAGAGAGCAAGACACTGTCCACGTGGTTTTTGCCTCACAGAGGAAATAAAAATCTCCATTGTGCTCTTCTTGTTAGGTACCAGCAAACCAAATATTAAACGGGTCTGGACTAAAATCTGGAAATGGTTCAAAGAGTTAATAGGACAGTCTCAAAAGGAACATATTACAGGAATATGTCAATATTTGTTTTATCTTACATTGTAGAGATAATGGAAACTTCCTAGAACAAGAAGACTGAATAAAACAGAAACAAGTTTTGTTCCTGTTAGTGTCTTTATTTATTTTTTAACTTATTTCATTGATATTAGAGAGAGGAAGGGAGAGGGAGAGAGAGACAGAAACATCAATGAGAGAGAACATCCATTGGCCGCCTCCTGTAGGCCCCCCCTGGGGATCAGGCCCACAACCTGGGCATGTATCCTGATGAGGAATCAAACTGGTGACCTCTTGGTGCAGGGTCGACGCTCAACCACTGAGCCACACCAGCCGGGCTCTCTTTAGTTTCTTTTAATTGACCTTATTTTTTTTTTAAGAACAATCTTAGATTTACAGAACAATTGGGAAGATAATACTGAGAGTTTGCAAATAACCCACAGCCAGTTTCTTTATCAACATTTTACATTAATATGGAATATATGTTACAATGAATTAGTGTTAGTTTTCAATACTATCTATATAATTTATTTATTAAATGGATAATTTCAGAAACTAAAACTATTGCAGTACCTACATGTATTTGTGTTCATAAGAAAAATTAATAAAGAGTATTCAAACAGCCCCGGCTGGTTTAGCTCAGCGGTTAGAGTGTCAGCCTGCGGACCAGAGAGTCCTGAGTTCAGTTCCCACCAAGGGCACGTACCTCGGGTCCCCGGCCCCGGTTGGGGTTGTGCGGGTGGCAACCACTCCATGAGTCTCTCTCACATCGATGTTTCTCTCTTCCCCCCTCTCTCCCTCCCACTCTGTCTGAAGATAAATGCAAAAATGTCCTCAGGTGAGGATAAAAAAAAAAAAAAACTTTTTTTAAAAGGGTGTTCAAACAATAAAAAAAATTCATTTGGGTCAGAACATTTTAAAAATTCAAGTATAGCCCTGGCCAGTTTGGCTCAGTGGTTGGCGCATCAGCCACAGACTAAGGGTCGAGGGTTCAATTCCCGTCGAGGGCACATACCTGGATTGCCGTTTGGTTTGGTTCCTGGCCCTGGTCTGGTGTGGAGGAGGCAACCAGTTGATGTGTCTTTCATGTCAATTTCTCTCTTCCTTCCTTCCTCCCTCCTTCCTTCTCCCTCTCTCTGAAGATAAAATAGAAAAAATATCCTTGGATGAGGATTAAAAAAATAAGTGAAATGGGAGCAATGAATGATATTTGCCCTGCCAACCCTCTGGATTCAGATAAATGGAAAAATATCATCAGGTGAGGATTTTTAAAAATTTTCAAGTGTCGTGAACGTTTTGTGCCTGTGTACGTATGAGGTGCCAAAGCCCAGGGCCAATGTTCCACGCTGCCGCATGAGCAGCCGTCAGGATCTCCATGGTACTCGGTGAATTCAAGCTTCCTAGGTGGTTCTCATTTTATAGGCTACTTGTTTGCCCCGTTCTAGATAATTCAAGAAAAAAAATATTTCTTCTCTGATTTATGAAAAAACTGTAAGATAATGGACAGTCTTCCTTCCCCTAGTAATGCTAAGTCTTTATTTTGTAGTGTGTTAATAGGTATCAAATTAAGAGAGAGTGTCTGGCTGGTGTGGTTCAGTGGTTGGGGGTCGACCCTGCACCAAGAGGTCACCAGTTCGATTCCCAGTCAGGGCGCATGCCCAGGTTGTGGACCCGATCCCCAGTGGGGGGCATGCAGGAGGCGGCCAGTTAATGTTCTCTCTCAACGATGTTTCTATTTCTCTCTCCCACTCCCTTTCTCTGTAAAATCAATAAAGAGAAAATTAAGAGAGGTCGCTCAAATTTTAATTCTATTTGTAACACAGGAGTACTTTGTGCGGTAGATGCGTTCCTGACACAATACACTTTCCTGTGAATTGACTAAGGGGCACTATGGTTTCTACACGTTAAGAAACTCAGCTGTTTACATGAACTCTGTATGATGCTTCGAAAATCAAAGAGCCATTCTATAACGTGTGTGAGGTCATTCCTGTAATGTATCTGCTTTGTGAATTAAATTTTCTATAAAAAAAGAGTTTTTAAAAATCATGTGTTCCTCGTGTCTTGGTAAAGTGAGGGAAAACTGTGGATCAGGTTCTAATTTTTTTTTTTTTAAACTGCATTCCATGTAGCCTGTTCTCCATTTTAAATTTTAACATGTGACCCCTTAAAGTAATGCAAAGTGATCAACATCAACCATCTCCCTTTTCAAAAAAGGATTCAGACTGAAGAGGGGTTTCCTATAAAGGCATCTTCCATCGGAAAAGATGTTTTTCTCTCTCCTTTGTCTTTGACACAAGCTCCAG